CATTTCTTGACGGATCCTTCTCATCTTCAAACTCGACCGAGATATTGATAAGACAATTCTGTGCACAAAATTTCAGCTCAATCGGCTGTAATTATGAAGACTTATTGTGTACACGGGCGGACGGCCGGCCGGACACCCTGACCGATTCTAGAGTGTACTCACTTTTTAAGTACACAAAAACGTGTGAAAAACGTATGTATTCTTTTGATATTAATTTTCATTGATGTACTCCTACCTTTCTTCTGTTACTATACTAACATAGAATTAATATTGCTTTTGATTACTCAATAATGTGGTCAAAGAAAAAAAAATCAAGGCTTAGTATATCGTTCAATCTCGTTTCTTCACTATGCGGTCATTGAACAAATAAAACAGTTCTACATAAAGATATGGACATTCGGTGGATCAGACTACATCATCAGCATATTAAATAGGCTAAAACTGTATTTAGAAAGTTACTTAATCAGTGGCTCTTCTGGAATCGCTGTAGGGGGTAAAGGGTTAAGTATAGATAATAAAGAGTTATTTACTAATAGAGTAAAACGTTTGAAGAATCTTCACATACTAATAGCATGGTTTTTGTTTTCTGTGAATGATCATCTCTAGATCTATTTTATTTTGTTGAGTATCAACAAATTCAAGAAGTAAGATAATAATAGTTCATTGACTTATCCTGAAAACTTAAAAAAATCAAATAACAAAAATAACTTCATAGAACTTATAATAAACCTTATATTTCTATAATAAAAAGTCAAAATCATTAATTAAGTCAAAATCATGCAGTAGATTCTTATTTTCATAGTTGATTTGCAAATATCATGCTGGCATGAATGTAAATATATTCTAATGAATGAAAGAATAATAAAACTCATATGGGAATATCTCATTAAATCGAAATCCTATTCTATTAAAATAAAAGCTTATATTTATTAACTTGAAATTAAATATTTTTTTGCTTTTTAAATATAGAAATATGATCTTAATCATTTGATTCAATTTAAATATATGAAACTAAAATTTTAATTCATATTTCATCACATAATCTAATTATTCAATGAATCATATTCATAAAATTTTATTTTTTACTGTCAATATTAATTCATTCTAACGTACATGTCACTTGAGATCACTCTAATATTTATTTATCTATTTAATTTATTATTTAAATTGTTTATTATAGAACACACCAATGAATATGTAGGACAAGAAGTTAAAAGTGATTATTCATGTTGCATATTTGTTCGCACTACCGACGATTTACCAACAATAGATTGTTATCAATCGAACAACAACTATCGATATAATATGGTAGAATAGCGTTCAAAAGATAGCCGATCATTTAAGTACTAAACTGTCGGCAGTATAGCACACATCATACCGAATGGTTTACTTGTGGTTTTTGTTCGGTTTAAATCATATGGGTAATCGACAAAATCAAATTATCTTATTTATTATGTATTGTTCGTAGTACTATTTTTCTATAGAATCTTTCTATTCTTCTAACAATTTTATTTGGAAATAATAAATCAAATGCAATGAACGAAACAGAAATTTGAATTATCAATGAGATTAGGAAAGTCAACACATAGATTTGCCGTTAAAACAGAGCAAAAAAAAAAGCATTAAATAAGACACTCCAAGTTATTGTCTATAGGGTATAGAAATACTTTATGTCTTGATTGAAATTTAATAAAATATTCCAAAGCTTCTTTTTTGACACGAAAAAAATGTTTTCAATATGTTGCATTCTTTATTTCCACAGAGATTTCTTAGAGTAATATTTTTCTTTATTTGACAATAGTGTCAAGATGATTTAGAAATAAATATGCCCGACTGTCACACACTATTCAACATCTTGTTATGCCTTTGTATAGATCCCTGTGATACTCAAAAAGACAATATATCTAAAAGAATTACTCCCCATAGTCTACTGAAGAAGATTTATAGCTAAATTAACTGAAACCCTTGAATTTTTGAAAAATCGTAAATAAAGAGTTTTAAAATAAAACATTGCCCATAAATAGATTTAATAGTCATTAGATAATCCTGAGAGTTTCAACGAAAATAAATATGTCTTTCTTGAGAAATGTCATGTCCATGTCGACTAGATTATTATGTCATTGTATGTTAAATTGCTGTAGGTTTTGTTTTTAAATTAAGTTATTGAATCTATCTGTAAGTAAAATTCCAACTCAAAAATCTTTGTTCTAGATTTTTTAGAAACGCTTTGCTCTCAGTGAAATGGCTAAAACCCTTCATGAGAATGAATCTTTTAAGGTGTTTTTCTAGTCTCAAACACACGTACTTGTACCCATGACATGAAACCGAATGATGTTTCACAGTTGGAAAAGTTCTATTGTTAGATTTAAAAATAGAATATATTTTCTTTTTCTTATTTTTTTCTTTTCTATTTGTCGATTAATTTTGAATATATCTAATTAATAAAAGCTGAATGTGCAAGAAAGTAATCTTTGTAAAAAAAAAGAAAAGAAAAACCTTTCCATTTTCATAGTAACACATACTTTAGTCTATAAAAAGATAACGTTGAACACAAAATGATAATGAAAATAATTCTTTTTAAAAATAGAGAATCTTATTATAGACAAATATAAATAATTCCTTTTTTTTTAGTTCTGTGATCTTTTACACGTATAAAATACTTAGAGAAAAACAATAATTATTTACGTAAATTTTATATTAAATTCCAAAATCAACAAATATAATATCGGTCACCTTTTTTTTTTTTTTTTTTAAAGCATGTGCAGAAAAAAAAAAGTCAATTGAATATGCTTTAGAAAATATTTGATTACATCTAATTCAAACAAAACATGATATGCAACTATAATACAAGATCATACAAAAGAAAAACAGATTCTTAATCTAATGAATATTGTTTATAGATCTTATATTAATTGTTTTCTTGGATTTAGAAATTTTTTTTCTATTTTCGTTTTGCATATAGTTCGAACGCAAAATCCTATATGACTTTTAATCATAATGACATATGACATTTTGACGCATATGTTACTTAAACAGGCATTACTCTTGTCATGTGTTACCAATTTCACGTGATGTTTTTATTGAGTAACAGACAAAATTTGGTTACTAGAAAGCATTTTTTGCATATACATATAAGGACAAGAGAATAAACAGTAATTATTAGAAAATACTTAGGTGTCTCGTAGTATAGCTAAATATATTTTTTATTTATTATTAAGAGAAAAACAAGGAAAAAACTATATTTAGAAGAATTTAAAAATAAAAGATTATACTTTTAGAAAAATATCAGAATACGGAAATTATCATTGACATAGAATGACTATTATTAAAGCGCAAATTTTTTTTTGTAAAAGAAAAAGAAAAAGAAAAAGAAAGTAATACTTAATCTTTTGATAAAATATAATAATAATATTACAAGTATTCACTTACATTAACTTTTGTATTAGTTTCTTGATGTATATTAAATCCCATATTGTGACACGGCATTTTTGCTTTTGATAAGGCAGCTTCAGATTCAAGTAATGATACATCATCTTTGTAATTCTGTGCTAAAGGCATTTTTGGATCAACGACACTCACTAAGCTTTCTAATAATTGTCTTGATATTTGTGGTTTAGATCTTTTTATTGATGTGTTGGTTTCTATTGACGTTACAGTTAATGTTGCTTGGCGTAGATTATTCGATTGAAAAAGGGATATTACATCGATCGGAGTGATTGTTTCACACGTATGTGGATTCGACGATTTCTTAAAAAACAAAATAATATTATCGATTATAATGATTTGCTATTTCTTTTGGTTTTTTTTTCTAACATGTCGGAACCTGATAATATCAGAGATTCTACGCACGAGACATGCGATGTAAGAAGCAGCAAACAGAAGCCCCTCATATTAAGAACAAACTAAAGAAGAGAAAAAAAAAAAAATTGTACCCCTTCTGTTACTCAGTATCTAGATTCGCTGTCACTCTATTAAACGCACACAAGAATGAGGAAAAAAATCAGAAGAAAAAAAAGCAGAACACTGAGTGACATTTTCATAGAGTGGGAAGGAAAGCAAAAAACTTCATAGAAGAAAGCAAGGAAAAAAATATTATAGTCACCAGCGGAGGCTGATGGTAGTTGCGTAGGCGTTATGTGTGCATGTAGCATATGGAGATAAAAGAATCGAAAAACTGTAGAATATAAAAATAAATAGTGAATGATAATAATGATAATCAATTCTACAGAAAAGGAAACGATTGAGTATAGCTGTTTGCAAAGATAGTATATTAATACATCTCTCCTGAGATATGAACAAATAATTATCATAAAAGCAACAAAAAAAAAACATGTAGATACATATAATAAGATAAAAAATGTGTTATTTCTAATGGCATTCATCCTTTAATTTCCGTATTCTTTAAAAAATAAAAACAGCAAAGAAAACGTTCTTATCTTCGTCGAATATGCATTTAGGCAACTAAAGTGATCGATCAATAATACAAAAAGAAAAAAAAAAAAGAAAGAATAAGAAGATAGATTACATTACAAATGAATATGCGTCGTCCCACGCAATGTCAACAATTTTTCAGAGGAAATGATTGACAATTCAATATATGAGAATAGAAAAACTTTAGCTGTCCTTGTATCATATGCTGTTGTTTTTTTATGGAATGTAATCATATTCACATAAATATTTCTTTTTCATATGATTTAAAATAATAAAAGAGAATAGAATGTGTTATTATAAGTACACTTAAAAAAAATGACAAGAAATATGATGACAACATGTTACTTATTCACAAATTAATGTTGGTTATCAACATTTGAAGACTACTATTGACAATGTAGAATACATGACACAGATTTAGTACATGCCAATAATAAGAATTGTAAATAGGAATGTTTTACACTTATGATTTTTATTTATTAACTCTTTCAGGACGGATGGCATATATCGGCGTTTTCTGTCCCGAAATAGTTCCGATCTAATGATGCGTACCATTTATCATTGATCTAGCGGGTATTTCTCTATGATTTGACATGAACAACATGCAAATGCGTCGTATCGGTCTTTGAAAGATCAATAGAACTGATTAGAAATGAAAATGAATTCCATATTTTATTATTTTGCTTCACAGAACAGAAACTTACCCTTAAAAGGGTTCAACATATTTCTAACATCAATGTTATATATCAATCTAATATATTTTTCATTAAGAAAATTAATATTAGATTTATATTTTCAACTAATATGATTGTTATGTATCATTAAGAAAAGAAAATTTTCTTTGACGTTTTAAAGATTTTTCATACGCTTGAGAAAACTAATCATAGTTTCTCGATCAATAAAGCAGAATAAGAACTTTAGATTCTATATGTCATATATATTTCAAAAAAACAACAACATTTCCTGCATCTTATCTTGTTTATTTACTCATGAATGAAGAGATGATATATTTGAAATAGTCAATAATTGACAAGAGGAAATGATCATGAGTGAAAAATTACTTTTTTGGAGTAGACTAGAACAAAAGTATAGTATATAATATATTTACTTGTTTCTTTTTCTTCCGTATTGATTGTTTTGATAATTGTGACCATGGTTTACATAGTACTCTTTTAACTATAATACCAAAATTTTCAACATAAAAACTACATTGTTTTACAATGTAACTAAAACAATCAATCTTATTATCATCAGTATGAAGAGTCATTAACGAAACGACTTGTTGTTGCATTGGCATCTATTGTGAATCGAATGAGTGAAAGAGAAAGAGAAAAAAAAAATCATATGGAAGACATGATTGATACCTCGAATCGGAGGAAAAAGAAAATATAACTATATGTTATACTATTCTTTGTCTTTCAGTATCATATCGGCCGTCTAATTTAAAAAGAGAAATATACGTATGACATCTTCTCTATTGTTCATTCTTCTAACAATAGATATAAGGATTTAGTACGAGAATAGTTTGACGTCACAACGTCATATACATATATATACCATATAGAAAAGAATAGACGAAGAAAAAAAAAACGAGAGAAACACAAAAAAATTTAGAATCTTTCAAGTAAATCTAATAAATGTTGTTTATGTGAATCTTCATTATTTCCATTGCTTGCTCCATCTGTTGACGCATGATCAACACTTGTTGATTTCTTTGTATTTCCCAAATTGTTTGCATATTCTTAAAATTAAATTAATAAATAAAGAAAATTGATAGTTATTTTTTTTTTCTTACTGAATTAAACGTATATATACGTATAAGAGGTCCAAAAATTGATCATATGGATTTAGTTTCCGTTATAACAACTGGCGTAAAGAATTCAAATAGTGATTTGGATAGAGAAATTTATATTCAATAAAAATTTGAGAAAACTAAATCTTTACATTATTTCTAAAATTCAGGATCTTCACAAAATCCAAAACCTAGTTTTTCTGCACTGATAGCCTAAAAAATAGAAGTTTCTTTTGATGATACAAAGTGATAGAAGAATTAAATCTATAGAAAATGAGATACTTCGGAATTCTTCATGACATGTTGTTTTAACTGAAGTACATCTATTTTAAGAATAGCACGAAAGTGGCTTTTTTTTTGCCCTTTACTATAGCATAAAGGGCTTTCGTGCTTTTCTTAAAATAGATGTACTTCAGTCAAAAAGAAAAATATTATGAAGTTCGGAAACATCTTATTTTCTATTGAATTAGTTGCTCTATCACACTGTGTAATCACAAGAAACTTTTATTTTGATATTTTCTGAATGGTGAAAAGACTAAGTTATTAATTTTCTAAAAATCCTGGATTTTTCGAAATACTTTCGCGATTTTATTATTCTCAAAGATAGCTGTAAGTTTATTCAATGATTTTCGACTATAGAACAAGTATTGCAACGTACTGTTGAGATATATCAACGTTACGCAATTCAACTTGATAATATACATATACTATTAGATAGAGGAAGCCTTCCTCTACATATGTCCGATTCTGTAATGAAAAACGTTTAGATGCCATTGTCTATTCAAATCATTATTTGAATTCTTTATAGCAGTAATTTATTACAGAAATGAAATCTTTATGATCAATTTTTGTAGTCATTATATATACAATTTTCTTACCGCGTATAATATTTTTAATAGTATCAATCGAACTATTTCTTAAATTAAGAATTTGTAAAACACGTTGTCGTATTGATGGAATACTTGTTGTTGATGAAGCTATTTCAATAATAATATAATCAATTAATTGTAAAGTAAATAATCCAGCATCTAATCGTCGAAGATACATTTCATCTTCATCATCTTCTTCGTCATCATCAATACGATTATTAGCTGCTTGTATACGTTCATAATATTGAAAATGTAATTCCATCAAACGATCAACCTTAAATAATATAAGTAATTAAAAATGGATAATCATACAAAGAAGACTTTTGTTTTTTTTTTACTTTTTCATGATCATTTTCAGTAAATTTATTGAATACACGTTGACGATTTGAACCAGTACAATTTCTTACTAATGAAGCTATACATGATATAACATGTTCTTAAAAGAATAAAAATTTCAAATGAAAAATAGAAGTTTTCGAAAAATGAATATTTTTACCTTCATTTTCTGATCGAGTTTCACCAGATCGTTTATTTCCTTTAGGTGGTTTCATAAATAATGGAAATATTGTACGTAAACCAAGTATATCAACAATTTTTTGACAATTATCTTTTCCTTCAACACCTGTCATAGCAAAATCCAATGTTCTCAATGCACCATTACGTGAAGCTTTTCGTTCTCTACAAAAAATTAGAAAATAAAATAAAATAAAATCAATATTTATTCTTACTTAAGCATTATATTCATAAGATGAGGTCCTTCACCTTTAAGAAATCGCTGTCGATTGGAAGCAAACATCAATGATGAACATAGACAACTAAATAAATTTTCCATATATTCAAATTCTTCACTTGTTTGAGGATCATGTCGTTTGTAGTGCTAAAAAGATAATTAGTCTATTGAAAAATATTTAACTTTAAAAAAAAAACAAAATCATTGATTCATAGATATTCTTTTCTAGAATATTAGAAGAATCCAAGGAGAATTTCCGCTCATGAAATTAGCATGCAAACGGTTTAGTCTGTAGATTTCAATTTTTTTACATCTGCCTACCCTTAGCCGCTTGTGTGAAATAACTGAAACAAGATATAAAAATTAATATAACAATGATCATTGTTACTATGAGTATCAATATCATTCGAAAGTTTCATAAAAACTAGATAGATAAGAGATAGTTAGATACAGAATGATCGCTAGAAGGATTTCTAAAAAAGTAAATTTTTGTTTTTTTCATCGCCTACAACTCTGATATGATATTTTGCTCCCACTATACTACATAATAGAGCGAACGATTCTCTACAAAATGAGACATTGCTGAGCTCTCTACGGCGTTTTTTTCTTCTCAAACCACATCAGATTTATTAAATGTTTTTAGAAAAATTTCTGTCAAGTCACTTCATTTCCCCAATGGTAATTGCCGTCACCAATGAAAGTGTATCAGATCGATCTATCTATACTATTGATATATCAGGAACAACATCAACATTCTATTCCAATAGTTGTTTCATCAGTAGTTCTTCTGAAATTGCTGTGACGAGTAAACATTCAAACTTATAATACTATTATATCGATAAAATCAAATGAGGAAATTCTAAACTAAAACGTCATTGACAACAAGAATTGCAAATCATTAGAATACTGTAAAAGTTTCAAATAAAATGAACATATTCTTTTTGAAGATATTGTATTCTTCAAAATTATTCTTAATTTAATGTTTCACTTCGAAAAGTCTTTTATTTGATTTCGTAAACCAACTGATCCTATTTAAAAAGAAACGTCAAATCTGTTTTCAGCTAAGAAAAAAAAACTACAGAGAACAATCGAATCTCCACTAGTAAGATAATCTTGTGAGTATATGTCTTCTGTTGAACCATATTCATATCTCAATTGAACGTATATATCTCTATCGGTCTTTCATTCTGAAAAAGTTGAAAAAAAAACTTACAGCAAGTTGCTGTAAAAGTATATCAATACCATCTAATTCACCAAGCATTTGTCGATTTTCATCATGGTTTTGCAATAAAATCGACATTAATTCTGAACAATAAAGACGTATTGAACCAAATGGTGATTTAATCTAATATACGCGAAACAAAAACAAAAAAACGATATTATTATTTGATATTTTTCTTACTTTTAAACGTTTAAGTAAACATGTTAATAGACCTTGTTTACATGCATCAATACATAAAGCTGGTCGAAGTTCTGTCATATTTTCTACAATAGCTATAAATCATAGAAAATAATAATTTTTATTTTCTTTTTTTGTTTGATTTAATTGAATTATTTTACCAAGTGAATTATGTATACCATCTGCTTCTTCTTTAACATTTTCATCGAGTCTTTCCATATTTTGAACAAGTAATGAAATAATTTGTTGTTCAGTCTATTTAAAATTTGAAAAATAAAAAAAAAAAACAATACATTTCTTTTTCTTTCAAATAACTCACAAGTGCATCAATTAAAAATGTAGCTTGTTCTTCACTTTCAGTTAATGTATCAACATCTGTTAATTCTTGTATAAGATTAATAACAGCAATACTAATATCCGTATTTTCATGTGTTAATAAACTCATTAATAATGTTATTCCATTCATATTAACAAGTACATGATAAAGATCAGATTGTGTTGCAACAATATGTAATTCTTGTACAGCATCATTTAATTCAATTTCAGATTCCATAAATCTAAAAGAAATATATATTTTTAAAAAAAGGCAATAGAAAAAAAAAATATATAAATTTTTTTTTTTTTTTTTGAAATTACTTTTCTGGATGATCTGGATATTTAATTCGCATTTCTTGATTTTTTGAAATTCGTTTTTCAAGTTGTGAAAGCATTCGTTTTAAAGATGTTTCATCAAGTTCTTCTGTCTATAAAATAATTTTCCTATAGAAAAAATATAAAATAATTTTTAATAAATATTCTTACAGATGATTCTTGTTCAAGCATTTGTAAAAGTTTATCACGTTCATCAGTATTTAATGATGCAAAATTTGTATTAGAAATTGATGAACCATTTGATGACATGGGTACATCATCAAAAATTGGACGTTTAACTCGTTTAGGATATCCAGCAACTATTGTTAATGTTGCATCAGTAGTTCGTTTATTTGTTGAATTACTAGCTGATGAAACTGAAGGTTTAGCAGGCTGTGAAAGATGAAAACAAATATATCATGAATTTTTAATCAATAACAAACATAAGTTAACTACCTGATAATTTAAAAGTTCATCAATATTCATGATTATTGTTTTTTTTCGCAGAATCAATCAATGAAATTAAATAATCAGTTAGAAGAAAAAGCAAAAGCAGAAATTCTCATTGAAATTGATTGGTTAAAAGAACGAGCCTGTCATAGGAGCTGAGCGGTTTACTACGAAGAAAGAAAAGATTGATTTAATTCTTTCTTTTTTTTTCAAATTTCTTTTTCAAGATCTTGAAAGAATTTTTTCTTAATACTTTCTCGTATCAATAAAATAATAAGAAACATTTATTATGTAGTTATATTCATTGAATGTATTAGCAACGAATATTTTTAAAAGACGATGTTAGCGAAGTTTTCCATGATTCGTCGAATTATAAAACCAATCAATATGTTGTTGAAGTTAGAACATTATTAGAATGAGTGTTATTTTGTTTATTGAATATGTTGTCTTGACGGTTTAGTTGAAGATTGTGTCTATATTTTAGATGACAACACCAAATCGTTCATCAACATCTGAAGATGTCTATGGTGAGAAATGGGATCGATGTGTGACTGATACAATTGTTAAAACAGGTTTGAATTTATTACAGATAATATATGAATGCTAATTCGTTTTGTTTTCGTATTTTAGCATCTGGTCTTGCTTTGGGTATTGTTTTTTCTGCTGTTCTCTTCAAACGTAAGTATTTGTTGAATATAATGATCGATATTCATGACTTTTTTTTTCAATACTAGGTCGCCCATGGCCTGTCTTCTTGGGTACAGGAATAGGTTTAGGAATGGGTTATAGTAATTGTCAAAATGATTTTCGTTCACCATATGTTCATCCTCAACCATTATCACTAACCAGGACTGATGAACAATTATTGAAAGTAAGAAAAAATAAAGGGAAATTAATAACAAGCTAATATATATTTTTTTTATAGAAGCCATCAAATAGTTGATCATCTTTTAATTGGCTTGAATACGAACATAAATATTTCTTTTTTTCTTTTGTATCCATCATTTCATTACCATGTATCTTTTAGAGAAATTAACTTTTTTTTGAACACCTTCCCATTACATTAAATAAAATAGACAAAGTTAAGTCGATTGATTTGCAGTTTTTGTTTATTCAGTTTTAGATAAATCTAAGGGAATTCAACTAGTTCTCTGAAAAAAAAAACGTTTTTTTATCGACTTTTGTTCGTAGTAGTTCGATAGGAATGGTCACAGAAAAGCTTTACCTAAAAAAAATTTGTTAACTTTTGCGTGAAATGATGAAGGTTTGTAGAGTTTTTCAGGAATGTCTAGCGAAGATTCTATCAGTGATATCAAGATTTTGAATTGATATTTTGCCCATTAGTAGAAGTCAATTTTTTATAAAAAGTTTTAAAAAATGTAAAACTTCTAGGTTTTGAGAAATTCAATTTCAATGAAAAGAAGAATACTTTGCAGATTGTATTAATCTAAGAGGTCTCTACTTGTACGTAAAATATCGATTGAAATTCTTCAAGTCATTGGTGAAATCTTCTTTAGTCATTTCTAGAAAACACTGCGAATCTTCATCATTTCAGCAAAAGTTATGCTGCTCTAGAATTTATTTATTTTTTGTTCAATTATCTTTGTAATAAATAGAGCTTACAAGGGAAAGTCTCTAGATAATAAAAATCTTTTGAGTCCATATTGTGCCCAGTCGTAGAGAATCGATAGACTAGAAATATCTTTCAAAGAATCTGTGCTGACGTTAAGATTTGATCAAGATATTGACTTTTTAGTGAATATTTTCTATATGAATCCAATTTTCGATAAAACGATACTGTTGAACTTCGACTTGAAAACTTGGCTCAGACAAAGATCTCAGTAAGATTAACTTTATGTACAAAATTTCAGAAGTTTTCGATCGAATGTTTCACAAATATGCATTTTTCAGACTGCAAGCAGTTTTTCATTGATACCGTCTAAAACATGCTTATTTCGGAAGTTTCATATTTCAGAAGTATTCGTTCGAAAAATCCTGAAATTTTATGCAAAAGTTAGTCTGACGAAGGTTTCATCTGGGTAAAGCTTTCGGGCCAAAACTTGGTAAAAGGGTTTTATGGAAAGATTGAGTCTATACGTAGAAAATTCATTAAAAAGTTAATATATAGATCAAATCTTAACATAAGCACAAATTTTTTGAAGCCTGTTCTAATCAATAGGTTCCCTACCATTGGACAAAATATGGACTCAAACGCTTTTAATCAAATGAGAATCTTTCCTCGTTAAGAAAATCTACTAGATAAACATACTGTTGTTTTGAAAACGTTTCATCATAATTAGAAACAAACAACAAATTCATTAAATATGAAATCTATGTATACTCGATATGGAAAAAAAGTTCAATCTACAAAATATTTTTTCCTTTCGATAGAATTATTTAATTTTAATGGTAATTACAGTTCTGTACTGCGCTATTATGTTGTACTGTGTTTTTTATTATAAAAACAAAACTTATCAATAGTTAAGATATATTGTTGTAGCTATTGAAATACTCTATTTACAGTTGATTATAACGCAAAACGAATTCAAATAATGAAATAACAAAATTCTTACGATACATTCTTTATGCAAAAAAAAATATGGAATATTGTTATTGTCCGAATATTTTAATAATACAAGAGATTTAAAATGACTTATTACGTATACTTACGCTATGAACGTCGACATACTTAATCTGAAAATTTCATGTAATAGTACAGTTTCGTTCCGGAATAGATTTCATATTCAATAAAGTTCTTGTTTGTCTGTAGATACGATAGCATGTGTTCAAAAGAAAAATGATTCTATTTAGTAAGGTTTTGTTTTTCAGCTCTATCTATTACAAAATAAATTGATTGAAAAGTTAAATCTCATAAGTATAGAAATTATATTTCATAAAGAAGTAATTTTTTTTTTCGATCACTAGCAAGAAAAATAGATAATCAATATCTATCATCATATTGCGAAGATGATTTGATAAACAAAATAATATTATTGATGCATTAGAGGAAAATGAGTTTAGCTTTATTTATATCTAATCTTAATATAAGATCTAAAATGATGCTTAGTCAATGAATAAGATTTATCTAAACTGATTCGTGAATAGATTCTGTCAGTTGTCATCTTTATTCTATTCATCGAATAATTTACATGCACACAAAAAGTGTTGAAGTATTGATCACATAAGACTTCTTTTGTATTTTATATTTCATTTATCTTTGTTTAAGTTGTGTGAAATATTTATGAGCATTTACAAAGAGTTTTTTTTTTTTTTTTTCGTGAGAGCTTTGATTTCTTTTCTGTTTACTTTAAGCACTAGAATGTGATTCTACAGTGTGCATATTTTGACATGATGAGGGATAATCGGGCTCCTTGTCTCGTTTGCACAATCAATAGTAATGTGTTGAGAGGACATTCGCTTTTTTCTCTCGATCTATATATATATATGTTCTTTCATTGATATGATTATTATTTGATAGCGGTAGAAAAAAAAGGAGGTGGCGAGCCTCATTTAAATATATTGCTGCATTTGTTTGCATATGATGTTCGATCCGTGATCGATTCACTAGACCAAAAGGAAAAGGAGAGGGAGAGAAGCAAAAAAATGAACATTGTGTCGCACGAGAGTATAGAGGAATATGTAAAAACAGAGAGTGAAAGAAAAGAATAGATCAAAAATGACTATGTGAATAAGCAGTCTCGTCGACATTAGACACTGATGGGTCAAAAAATTATACTCAAATGATTTTGTGTAAGTCGTTCTTTCATACATTCATGATAAATTTCTTTTCGAGCTTTGATAAATCACCTCTTATATCCCATTTTGCAAAGTTTTTTTTCTGCTATACTTATTTCAATAAATGTATATTTTCGTATCATCATAAAATATTTATTAGAAGATTTACACATATGAGTTTAGACTTGCTTGCTACTACCATAATTAACAGACTTTAAACTCAAATGGAAAAGAAAAGGTTATAAAAACATAAGGAAAGATTCTTCTTTTATTTTTTTTCTATAATATCAAATAAAAGTAATATGAGATATTGATATGATGCTTTCAAGAGGAAAAAGCAAAAATTCTTGTTTGATAAAACATATCGTATAAGTATTCCTTATCTAATGAAGAATAAACGAATGACTAATCAAATGAATCTGTACTATCTACTATAATATATGATCAACAACATATTTTACTTATGTCACAATTAATAATATTTTATGATAGTAGATAGATTTGTCTTTCATTTACTCTTTCCTTAGTCGTATAATCAAACCTTGAAAAACGATGATGTTTCGTCTTGATTATTCTTTGAGACTGTCTCGAGAATAAAAAAAAAATGTTCGAATATTGAAACAAATGACATGTCACAAGGACGCACTTTTACCTATACTATATATTGCGACCCTGGCATGCACACGCGATTAAATGTCGTAATGAAAGAATGTTTTTATAGAAATTGTTCGACCTTTAAATTTATTACAAACATACCAATAAAAGATCTTTAAACGAAAATGTAAAAAATTAAAAATAAGATTTTTCTTTTTATATTAAGAATTAATTGTTAAAACAAAACAAAAAGATTAATTGATTTTGTCCTTCTACTAACATGGCCCGGATAGCTCAGTCGGTAGAGCGTGTGGCTTTTAACCACAATGTCCAGGGTTCGAGCCCCTGTTCGGGCGTTTCGGTCATATTTTTTTCCTCTTGTCGTTCTGTTTTCTATCTATCTACGATCTAGCAGACTACCGGTAACTAAGCACGCGAGCAAGCAGATGATCATGTCATCTGCAAGCGATTTGCGCAGAATACAAGAAAAGAAAGAAAGAAAGAACAAAACATGTTAGAATCTGTCGTCATCGTCGCCATGCCTTTTCTTTTTTCCTATTTTTCTCTTCTTTTTTTTTCTTTTCTTATACGCACTATTCCAAAATAAGTCCGTATGATCATCAGTAACAAAAATGTCATTCATTCATATTGTTAGTGTTTGAATGAATGAATGAATGAATGAATGTTATGACACATCCATCAAGCATTTGTGTTCATTAATAGTACAAAAAGGTGTTAAATCCTGGGGCAACAGGTTCGTGAAAAAGACTTTTTTAATCAATCGAAGCCTTTCCTTTCTTTTTTATTTGATTGATCTCAGCAAAAGAAAAAAAAAGTTTTTTTTTCTCTGTTTCATTCAAAATATAGAACGATAAAATTTTGTTTTTTTTTAGACATGATATAGGAGACAGGTGCTCGCGCCATATTTATAATAACAATGGTAACTATAATAAATATGAGTAAATTATGTTAATCATCGTTTTTTATAAAGAGATATTCATATTTGAATAAATTTCATGATAAAAACTTAAGGTTTTCAGTTCGATTTTGAGTATTAATAGAAAAGATCAAAAATAGTGATTGATTTGTTTTTTAATATTATTACGTTTTTGATTTAATCAAAATTTTTAATAAACAAATCTATTAGAAATCAATATTAGTTTCCTTTTCGTTTCACAAGACTTTTGAGAAATCTCTAGAGCAATTAGAAATACTTTGTTATGATATGAGACATGATTAATTTCTAAATATATCTGGAAAACAAACTTCTTAGTTGTCCTTCTATATACATTAAAAAGCAGAAATTATTTGTTTCCATCCTAATAATTCTTATCTTAATGAAAATCCTTCAATGAGTCAAATCTCGTTAAAGAAATGCAGAACATGTATGTAATGTGTCTATCTAATTTCTTTTTTCTCCTTGACTCAGCTTGCATATCATATCGTTGATATGATAGTTGCATGATCTTTACTCATTGTCTGTATTTATATATATATCTAATTGAGGTGTGTCAACGGCTAGAGTAAAGTATAGTAAAATAGTATCGATGACTTAGAGACAAGGTTATATATGTCCTTGCCTTTACTTTATTCAGTCTAACTCTATTTCTTGTC